TGGCATTCCTCTCCTCCATTTCTCCACCTTCCTGGGATATTTGGGCACACACTGACATATGTCCAGTTCATATGTGTCCAGAGGCTGCTGCTAAAATTGGAGAAATGTGCTATCTTAAAGGCACCTCATATTTAATAGGTCCATGGTCCAGACTACCTGAATCTTGTCACTCTTCCAAGGTTTCCTAGCTCAGTAAATGATATCCATTAAGTTATGCAGGTTAGAAACATAGGGGGTTCCTGGGACCAGCAGGTGGCATGGTGGTTAAGGGTGCTGGACTCCCACATGGCTGATCACAGTTCAAATTCTGGACCCAACGGCTTGCTTTCTTTCTCTCTCTCTCTCTCTCTCTCTCTCTCTCACTCTGTCCCTCTCTGGTCAAATATAAATAAAGTGAAATAAAATTATTTTTAAAAAAGAAACATAGGAGATAGTAATGATATTGAGTTGTCAGAAAAGTCATGATGTATTTTTTTCTGTTTTTCTCCAAAAGTCATTTATTTATCTAAAACACAAAGATCAATCAATGAATCGCCTGTTTCATTTGATAACCTTTTACTATCTTTCAGTGAGCTTCATAATTCCTCATTTGTAAAAGGACCTGACTTTATTGGCAAAAAGTTGAACAAGGTACTGATTTACAGCGTCATCTGAATTGAATGTCACACTACAAAAGGAATTTTGGGACCAGCAGTTAGCGTAATGGCTATGTCGCTGGACTCCCATGTAGTCGGCCACGGTTTGTGTCCTGGACCCGGTGGCTTAAAACTCATGCCGGGGGCGTGTGTGTGCATGCCCAAGGTCCCGAGGGGAGAATGAAGGAGAAGAGATTGCAGTGTGGCCATCCCCCCCTGGGGGGTGATTTCTCCCTTTCTGTCTCTCTGTCTCTCTCTGACTGGCGAGCACACGTGCCCTATAGCAAAAACCTCTCCAAAAAAAAAAAAAAAGGAATTTTGAAGAGAATGAAACAAGTGGAAGTCTCATGGCACAAGGTCAGGCAAATATGGTGAATGGGACGATACATTGCATTCAAGCTCCAATAATTTTTGATGGGTGATCAAACTTATGTATGGTTTCACATTGACATGACAGAACACAACTCCTTTACAATCAATGAGCTCTAGACATTTCTGGATAATGGATTCATTCAAACTGTCTAACTGCTGACAGTACACATTCAAACGGATTGTTTGGTTCCTTGGTGGGAGTTTGAAAAACATGACACCTTTAAAATCCCATCATACTGAGAGCATAGCCTTTGATGAACGTCTGCTTTTAATGTCGTTTGAAATGAATCATCAAGTCAGGACCGTGACCATTTGCCCATCACATTGTTGTAAACAATCCACTTCTCATCACCAGTGATCAGTTGTCCCGAAAAAAGGATCATTTTTCTCACATTGAAAGAGCATATTGCAGATGTTTATACATGTCATCAAATGAACTTCTTTGAGTTCATGAGGAACTCAAATATCAAGCTTGCTTATGTATCCCAGCTTCTTCAGGTGACTGCAAACATGTGAATGATGGATGTTCAATGTTTCTGCAATCTCTTATGTCATGTAATGTGGGTTTGACCCTACCAACGCCTTTATTTTGTCATCATCCTCGGTGGGCGTCCCTGACCAAGGAGTGTCGCTGAGACCAAAATCGCCAGCATAGAATTTCATGAACCATCGTTAGCACTGACGTTCTTGCAGAGCTTTGTTGCTGTAAGCTTTACACAACTTTTCACAAGCTTGGCATGCATTCTTCTCTTTATGGAAGTAAAACAGTAAAATATGGCAAAAATGCAGTTTGGTCTTTCATCTTCAATGGGTTAAAAAAAATCTCCATGACTCAACTAAGTCACTTTCTTTTTTTAGAGTGAAGCTAGGACTGTCAGCTGTCAAATGACAGCGCAATAACATATATACGAATGACTCTAGTACCTCCAAAAATGAACCAGCACCATCCAGTGCAAAAATGCGTCATGACTTTTCCAACAACCCAGTATTTGCCTCCCATATGCCCATGATCCAAACCATCACTTAAGCATCATGTAAAGAAAAAAGCACTCCAAGCACAGGGAACAACATACACAATGTTTCTAGGCTGAAAGATAACATTTGCATTCTGTAAATTAAAGACCTGTTCCTTTGGGTTAGAAGAAGGGACTAAATCACGAAGGGTCTTGTAGACCTGATTTAGTTCTTTATCCTAAGAGCGATGGAAGCCACTGACAGGTCTGAAGCAAGGGAAGAGACATGATCAGATTTAGGTTTTGAAAAGCGAGTATTTTGGGTGTAGAATGGAGAACAGATTTAAGAAAACTGGAATACAAGGAAATCAGAAAAAAGGCCATGTAGTCACAATGGTGAGAAAAGGTGGTACTTGGAATAAGGCGCCAACAATGGAGAGAAGTGGATTTTCTTTCCTTTTTTTTTTTTTTTTTTTTAAGTTTGTTTTTTGCTATAGGGTGTGTTCACTCGTTGAAGAGACAGAGAGAGAAAGTGAGAAATCACCCCCCAGGGGGTTTGGCCATGCCTCAATCTCTTCTCCTCATTTTCCTCTCCAGGTTTTGGGCACACATACACACGCATCCGGCTTCCTTTGGGTCTGACCTTGAAATATTCAACTGGTCTGTGGGACCCAGTACCTTAACCTTCATGCCACCTGCCATCCATCCAAAAAGTGGATGATTTTAATCTCTAGTAAAGAGATTATGACAAAAGAAAATGGCGATAGAATACAAATTCTCTACCAGTTAGAGGTTGTCAGGGGGACCAGCAGATGGCATAATGGTTATATCACTGGACGTCCACCGTGACATATTTAAGTTTGTTACCTTGATCTATAATTTTTAAAAATTATTTATTTAATTCCATTTGTTATTATTTTTTTAATTTGACCAGACAGAGACACAGAGAGAGAGTGTATGAAAGGGAAAGTGAGAAAGCAAGCTGTCAGGTCTGGGAATTGAACCATAGTCGGCCATGTTGGAATTCAGCGCTTTTAACCACCACACCACATGCCAGCCCCACCCTGATCTATAATATTTTTCTGAAACTCTTTTTTTTTTTTTTTGAGAGGTTTTCACTATAGAACGCGTGTGCTCGCCAGAAAGACAGGGAGAGACAGAGAGATAGAAAGGGAGAAATCACCCCCGGGGGGGATGGCCTCACCACAATACCTTCTCTTCCATTCTCCTCTTGGGATCTTGGGCACACACGCACACGCGCCCGGCTTGAGTTTAAGCCGCTGGGTCCAGGACTTGAACCGTGGTCAACTACATGGGAGTCCAGCCAATACGCTAACTGCTGGTCCCTTGATCTGTAATTTTAAAATATTTAAACAGGTAGTATACAAGCCGCCATAGTCACATTCTTGTTTAGGCTCAGCAAATTCAGGGCAAGGCTTGATAACAGTGTTTTATAGTGTGACAAGTAACAAATTCTCATAGTGAGATACACTTCAGGCGGGCCCTAAAGAAGTCAGATTTTTCCAGACTTTTATGTAAAAGACGAAATACCTGTACCACTAACTATATGCTATATGTTTCCAGGCACTACGTTAATTTACATGAGACTTTTTCTTTTTAAGACCAAGAGGTCAACAAGGAAACTATTGGGAACCAGCAGTTAGCGTAATGGCTATGTCGCTGGACTCCCACGTAGTCGACCGCGGTTCGTGTCCCGGACCCAGTGGTTTCAAACTCACGCCAGGCGCGTGTGCGTGCGTACCCAAGATCACGAGAGGAGAATGGAGGAGAAGGGATTGCGCCATGACCATCCCCCCTGGGGGGTGACTTCTCGCTTTCTGTCTGTCTCTCTCTGTCTGTCTGGCGAGTGCACGCGCCCTATAGCGAAAAACCTCTCAACAACAACAACAAAAAAGGAAACTATTTTGATTTGTAACTTTGAAAAGTGTCTTGTATGTGTGGCCTAAGTTTACAGTGTGGAAGTAATCTTAGGGATCAGATAGGAAAACAGAGATCCTGACAGGTAAAGTAGCTGACTTGCTGTCATGAAGCTAGTGAGTAGTGGGTATTTTCCAGCTTTCTTTGTCTCCTTTTCCAAAACAACACAGTTTTTATTTCTTTGCCAGAAGGCATGTGCCCTTACCAGAGAGACACACAAGAGTAAGAGAGAGAGAGGAACAAGCACCCCTTATGGGGAATGGTCACAATGGAATTTCTTCTCTTTCTCTCTCATCTTTGGGGATTCTGGGCTCAGCACAGGCACCAGCAGAGCCCAATGGGGCCGTGTGCTGTTTGGGATCTAGCTGCTTTACCACTAGGCCACTGAGCCAGCCATCAGTGCTATTTTTATTTTTCATAAAGACACCTGCTGCCAGTCAATGCCAATTACAACGTTTTTCCCTGTTACGTATTAAAAGAAGTAAAACTTTCATTACTTTTAACTTTGAAGTCACTAAAAATAAGTTTATAAATCAATATTAAACTTTGACTCAAAAAATTTTAAGAAAAAAGAAAAGGGAAACAAAGAGAATAAAGAAGCCCAACTTTCTGAGGTCGCGAGAACTGGTATCTTGACTTTTAATTGTTTCCAGAAAGTTACAGGCAACTTAGGCTCCCTTTAGGGACTCATAAAATATCCTGTCACTGGTTGCCTCTTGAGTTGCCTTTTATTTCTACATCTGTTCCGTCAACTTTCTGATTTCATGTAAGGTTCAAGAGTTAAATTCATGCTATTTGCTATGCTGCCCAGTGTAATACAACCATATTCTAACCCATCTTCCCAAATTCCTTATCTTATATGCCAAAACCCATTTCCTCAATTTCCTTATCTTCTAAACTGAAAAACACACACTTACCAAAACATTGAACATTAACTAAAGGCTAAAATCCAGCAACTTCAAAAAATAGTTTTTCCAACAACTACAAATATCGCTAATGAATTTTTCTTGGCGAGCCAAAGTTATAATAACCATAATAAAACTAACAACTTTAAGGGCCCAATCAGATTAGTCAAAGTTTCCAACGCCAGGGAAAGTCTTACCTTCAAGCTCAGAAGTAATCCGAAAGTTCTAGGTTTGCAGGAAGTTATCTCCCCCAAAGCATTATAGTTCACGATTTCAGCAATTGCAATGCGTCTCACTACCACACCGATTTTTTCAGTCCCTCCCATCAATCCACTCCGAAAAGAAGGACTCAGATCCGGGCCGAAATGTTCTGCTCTACGGTAGAGCATCCCCGAAATCTGGCTTTCTGAACGCGCAGAGGCAGGGAGGCACCCAAGAGCAGAGGGAAAAGAAGAGAAAGTCGTATAAGTAAGACAAAGTCTTCTCGGCAGAGATCACTGCTACCTTGGCTGGGCAGACTTTGGGGTCCAGAGTGGGGGTTCTTTTCGAACACCCTCAGGGTACCCGAGTTCACGCAGGCGACAATTAGAGACACTCCCTTCGCAGTTCGCTGAGCCACTAGCCGCGCCCAGTGGAGCTCTGACCTCCAAAGTGGGTCCGCTTGGCGATCCCGCTCCCTCGGCTCCTGTTTGCAACTTTGATTCCTTCCTAGATGGATCCTTCAACGTGGCTCGCCCAATGTGATTGCTTCCTAGATGGATCCTTCAACGTGGCTCGCCCAATGGAGAGCCCGGCCGGTGCCTGGGCCGCCCGCCCCCTCCCCGCCCCTCGGCGA